TTTATTTTGACCTATTCACACGTATAATTATTGTTACAACTATAATTATATTGATACAAGTTCTTTTTTTAATTATATGTATTGTGCGTCATCATTTTCATAGATCCACAAACAATGTTTACTGCTTTAATGTTTAACATATAAAAATATTATAAGTATAGGGTTGTGGAGATGGTTGAGATTTTATCACGATCATGAACCAATTAATGGTAGACCACCATTGAAAAATCGGAAGCACTGGATAACCATTTCGTCCTCATATGGTATTCCTCATCAGTGCTCATTCACCATCCTACGTATGTGATTTGAAATTAGGACCTTCGGTCTCACACACGAACGCTTAACCTCTAGAACACTGAGCTGGTATCCAATAGTGTTAATGTCTAACTTCAATCGATCCATGATCTTGCCCAACCTTTTGTTCATTGTCTTCGGTGGTAACTGCTGAACAGCCAACACAACTTAAGTCTACTGGCCATGGCTTCGCTCTAGAACCCCGAGAACTAATGCTGATCAGTTCCATATTAGGGAAGAAGGGGCGTCCGGTGCTTCCAGGTTTTCAATGGTGGTCAAACATTGATTGGTTCATAATCTCAATACGTAAATATGACAGCAGGTTAGCGTAAACCTTCAAGAGATGTTATTTTGAACAAACATTCTTCTTTTTCATGTTATTTATTTTATTATAATTAATGGATAATTCTAATTACCTTACAACAAAATATCTGTTAATTAGCCCATTATATTTTATGTTCTCAGCTATATGTCTTACTAAACGTACAGAACGTTTAATATGATGATGGTCTTATTTTAGATCACTATTAAATATTTGAACATGTTAGATGAATTTGTAATTGCTTTTCTCTCATGTATAACGAAGGTACTGTTCAGATGTTTCATTAGGTTGAAATTTGTTCAGATTTGGAGATAATTTTCATCACTAGCTGACATCAGTTCCAAAATAATCAAATAACTGAGACTAGGTATAGTTTTCAGGATCAATATCAAGAAATATTTTCAACTTAGGTTAATTTACGAATCACATGGATATGCATCCAAAGCTTTCAGTGAATAACTCTTCTTTCTACTTAATCAATCATATTTACTGTGACACTTAGGAATCTTTTGTTCAAACTTATAAAAATTTTTCCGTGTTTAATGATGACCAGTCCTAAGTATGCGACAAAATAACTGTTTTAATTCCAATAACTTTCCAAATTATGTAAAATAAATGTGAATTAACTATGGATATTTGAAGTTATTACAAGATACATATCGATAATATTCCCACCCAAATATACTCATTAAAAAATGTTCTTTAAACCCAAAAATGGACTTATAAATTCAATTACTTCCGCATGTCAGAATAATCAAGGGAAAAAATTCTATCTAGTTATAAATAAAAATATAACAAGTTAGACGTGATACATTGGTGAAACCTCCCTCTCCCCCCAGAATAAAAGTAAAACCTACAGCACTATAATTAACTAATGCTAACAAACGGTAAGTAAAAACGTATTAGGCAAACAGGAAAATGCAATTGAAAAATCTATTTTTGTTACATTGTTGACTGTATAAATATCCATTAATTCATAAAATAATAACTAAATCTACATGCGTGGGTTTTGGTTCGCTTTTTACTTCGATCTTGTAGTATTTATATATAGGTTTACGTGAGTGTATGTATGTTATTCCATTTCTCACTATTAATTCTATATACATTGCCCAAATATGAATGAATTTAAACGAATGAACTCAAGATAACCGATGGAAAAATGGACGAATCTGTGAGTAAGTGAGTACGGACACGCAATAGTAAATAGGATTGTATAAGCAGTTATCTATTACTTTAGAATTTGTTCAGTTTACTGTTTACTGATTGGTTGTCTGAAATAATCAGTTCACCATATACGAGGACATTGATTATGTAAAACAAAATATTTTGATAATGAATATTATTATAAAAAAAAAGGATATCGCAATCAATTCATTCATTGCATTAATTTAGGAAAAAATAAAGTAATTCTATTCATCCTCATTCGATGATACATAAAAACTAAAAAAATACTTTTGTAGAAAATTCTTTAAATATATTCCATTTAGTATTCAATGCTATGAGATATTAGTCAGAAATTGTGATCATTTCATGTGAAAAGGTAAGTGACAATTATAGTTAAAATTTTGAATAATAATAATAGTATTAATAATAATAATTTGCTAGAATGGGTTTTGTGGAGAATTGGTAATTTCAATAGTTGATTCATGATTTCAACTATTGAAATAATAATTTGATCTGAAATCTTTGTTAGCTTATTAAAAGAACTTAATAACAGTTACAAATAAAAGATAAAACCAACTCAAAAAAGGCATGAACAAAGATTGGTGCAGAATAATATCAATTCATTTCATTTCGTTAGATTCTCATCAGCTACTTACACTCTAAAATACATGAGCATTGACCGCCGATGGGGATTCTCCATCAAACTCTGTGTTGTGCAATCCTTTCCACTTTTTTTCAATTGGTATTCCTTCTTTTAATGTCTGCCTCTAATTATGAAACAAGTAGGAGTTAGATTACACATTGTATACAAACAACTTTAACAAAACTTATAATTTTGTTTGTGATTATTACTTTCCCCTTATCATCATTATTCATAATTTGAGCAAGACTAACTTCGTAATAACTACCTAATTCATCACTTCATTTGCCATGTTAATAAGAATTCTTTGTAGTCGACTACTTCATGATTTCATTTGCTTATTTAATGTTTTCTTGGGAAAAGTAACTTGAGCTATTATTTCTTACCACTTAACTGAATCACTACATGTCTTTTTCACACGTAATCATATTTACAAAACTTCTCGTTATTGTTAATGTACATGTAAAATGTTTCAAATTTGAGTGAATTCGCTTCAGCACACTGGATTCGTTGTTCTTACTTTATAAACATTTATCAAGGGAATTAAGTATATGAAGAATTTGAGACTACACCACTGATAGGCTAAATATAGTTTAGTAAACCAAAACAGTTAGAAATTACTTCCATAACAACAAAATATTCTATATCATTGAATTTTCAGCTTATTCGTGTAGTCTGGGTTCTTAGATCACATTGATCTTTTTTTATTATTCTATTACTTATTTGAATACATGAATATTGGTACAAAGGGGCACCGAATACATTTGCGCCACACAAGTCACTCCATTTGTGTGTTGGATATGATACTGCTCGGATGCCTAAACCGAAGCAAATGGTTTTCTTAGGGGGTCACATCCGGAGCCTTTGATCTAAAGGTTTGATCCATAGGGCAGTGGAGCAACGACAGGAGATGCAGTCTTATGGTAGCCGGTGACCAGTATTGGTTCGTGCGCCAATTATTCCCTCAGGATCCCGGAGCTCATGTCCACCATTGGTTTGGAATCAGGGTTTTTCAACTCCATAGGTGGATCCACCGTGTCCACCGACCCGGTCAAAGAGCCGAACATTGGCCTTTCGTTCTCTCAATTCAGCAAACGACAGTCGCGCCACAAGAAGACATTCAGTAGGACTTCCCTGGCAGTGGTTGTATACGCATGGCCATGCGAGAGCATTTCGAGAGGGAAACCTGACACTCCCCAGCCTCGGCTGTACCAGGGTATTTGGGGACTTCATTGAACACATAGTTTATTGATATCTTAATTTCCATAACAATCTACCTGCTGAAAAACAATTAACAAATAATAGAAATATAAAAGACAAATTAAAATAGCATTTCCATTAGCAATGATTAACTGATTAAAATCTAATATTATTGTGATCTAAAATTTTAAGTTCTAGAGTTAATTTTCTTTTTATTTAACAAAACATAATCAAAATAATTTTAAATTCTGATATTATTTAATATAAACACAGTTTGTTTTTGTACCATTTTCTATTTATTAAAGATGTGGAAATGACTAGAATAGAATTAAAGTTTTTATATCTATCATATCATATTATTGATTTGATTCAAGTTCTGTATTGATTACGTTCGACAGTACTCTGAAGTCTAAAACAGCCAATCTGCTTCTAACTGTTATATTACATGGAAAAGGGATGACTATATTGATCCATCCTTTCGGTATGGTAGATAAATATTACTTTATACGATCCTTGTTAGTTTATATATATATATATATATATATATATATATATATATATATATATATATATATATCGTCAAACATTTCACATTATCTTTTACTTAAAGAGTTATTATATATTAAAGTTTGAATGCTATATAAGGTAATTCTTATCATGAATCCAATATTTCCTACAAAATAATAGAATATAATCAAAATGAAATATGAATAGAACTATAAAGATCAATTTTTATGAAATGGTGATTTGTAGTTCAGGTGAATGATTTTGATGGAGTTTTATTCTCTGAGTTGGATGGTTTAGTCATGAAGCTTTCATCGTTATTCTGAACGATACCATTAGCACAAACTTCAGGTAGTAGTGTAGTGTTTGAATTTCAGTACATATGGCTCACAGCTTGTCCTGTAGACTTCGATGTTGATTGGTTACTGTTGAACTTTAGGATCAAGAATTAAATCAATGGGAGATACAATCAACTAACAACTAACCAGGATCTTATAAAGTAATATTTATCTACCATACCGAAAGGATGGATCAATATAATCATCCCTTTTCCATGTAATATAACAGTTAGAAGCAAATTGGCTATTTAACTCATTTACCTCTCTCTATAAGCTATACTATTCAGCTTTCCGTGTTAAGTTTTTACTGTATAATATAATCAGTTAAGATAATAAATAAATTCAGATCGACCAGGTGATAATTATATATTAACGACTGTATAAAGGTGATTTTATATTTCAAGTGTACATAAAATTGTTTATGATTCAATATTTATTTTGTAATGAAATAACTGAGAATTCCTATATATTAACCATTAATCTATTCATTTCTTTTTGTTTCATTATTATAATAAATCCAAATCTAAATAAATGAAGTATGCCACTCACACAGAATCCATTAAATGAAGCAATCAATACAGTGCAAATAGATGAAGATCAAATGACAGAAATGATTTGGTTTAAAAGTTCAATAGTTAAAATTTTATTATTTGTACTTGGAGCAATTTTACTATGTTCAATTGTGTTAATACTTTTAGCTACAGCATTAACACATACAGCATGGTTTCTTCGAAGAAGGCGTTCTATTCATAAACGGTTAGATTCATCAAATAGATCAAAATTAGAAATGAAAGATTATATCTTACATTATTTCTGTTTTGCTGTTGAAGCACTTGCAATAAATTCTGTAGATGATAGTGGAACTTCGTTGAAACATACAAAATTTTTTGGTTACAAACAAAGTGAAAAATCCTATGAACCACCGTCATTACCGTTACGATTTCAACCCGAAAAACTATATGGAACGACAACAATATTGCACAAAGATAGAAGTCGAAAAGGAAGTTGTATTAATTTACCATCTTACCCACAAGAAAATCAATTTCGAAAAAAGTCTATGCTTGATAGTTTTGTATTTTCTGATCAGAGATGTTCTAAGCCATTGGATTCAAATAGCTTATCAAGAAGCAACCTCTCTATCCATCACTCTCACTTGGCCGGTAGTGAGAAAAATTCCTGTGAATTAATCAAGTCAGTAATGGCTTCGAAGTTGGAACCACAGGATATTCCCCAACATTTTTCAAGTTTGTCTAATCAATCTTCTTTTGATCGAAATAGTAGTCGTAAAACATCAGTATCAACTGATGACACAAAATGCTATGTTCCAAATGAAGGGGATATATGTCTTGCTGTCCCCATAGTTACACGTAGGGCTTCAGCAACGGACTATGAGCTTCTCGATAACCGTTTAGGTAAATCTAAAAGATTGTTAGATACTCCGATATCCATAACTGTGACTGACACTCAAGCTGAGCTAGATGGTAACTTAACCTTAAAAAATGATGATATACATGCGTTGAGTACTCCAGGGTTATTTATAGAAGACCAGAAGTTTACTCGTCGAAACAGCTTTCTGTCTTATTCTACAGCTGTCGGGATCAAAGGCAAAGAGGATCAAGAACCCACGGATGATGATAAACATTTTCATTCAAACAAAATAGAAATTTCTTCTTCATTTTGCAGTGGTCTACAAAGAAACGAGTCTATATCATTAGATACGGATACTGATAAACAGAAAGTTATGTATAAACGACTTCCACCTGTTATCACTTATGACTGGATCAAATTCCCTGCTGGGATTATGGCTATTGGTGTAAAGTATTCTTCACATGTTAGTAGTAATCAAGATCAAATCTTAGTCACAATGCACACAGGTAAAAATCTGCTATCTCCTCGTTTATGGCATAAAACAATATTTTTTGTTTACTGTACTATATCTAATAAAGAAATTTCCCAAACATTCACTGTTCACAGTAAGGAAACCGAATTCGGTTGTCCACAGTTTGTAAATCATAATCAAATTTCAATGAATATACCAGTAAGAAGATGTTCAATATTAACTGGAGCACATGATATTGAAGCACCAAAAATACATATAAAATTGAAAATTTTCGAATCCATTCCTAAGTGGTCTGGTGACAAAGAATATTATCACGGATCTTGTAGTATGTCAACAGAAGAACTTTCGAACGGTCAAAAGGAATTTGAACACATTGGTTGGTGTCTAGTTGAAGAAGCTTATCCAGTAAGTTATTGAAAGTTTTTAAAAAACAGGTCCGATTTCTTCATGATCACTTTTAACGAACTAGTAGACAGTTCAACACTATAATTTCTGGTATAAATTGGTTAAGTTCACCTGTAAAACATTTACAAAACTAAATTTTAATTTAAAATAGAAACCTTAAAATAATTTAGGACAATTTTCAAAAAATGAATTTGTCTCAACAATAAAATTTATATATTTTTTTTTATCAGAAAGAACTAACTACTAAGATATCAGACGGACTGATGTCTTAATTAGAAAACGTTGAATCATTATTAACAAAATAGACTTAAGTATCGATAAGGAGCAAATAAAATCTTTATATTGAAATATAAATATATTTTATCATACCTTGAAGTTGGCATCGAAAACTAGAAATCATAACAATCAAACAATAACTAACAAGCGCTCCATCCATCCGCTGAATAATTTAATTTTAGAACTTGTTTGTTAGTTTTATCTGATTTACAAGTAATTTTTATTATTCTAGCATATTAATTAAATTGTCATAAAATGATAGCTATCTCATTCTTCCTTTTTTACTGAATAGTATTGTTTTAGCATTTAAGAAGATTATTTCTATCAATGTCATTATATTGAGATTTTCTGTTTGTTTATTCAATTCATTATTATACTAATCATCAGATATTGAGAATTTCCTTTTTTTGTTTTATATATTTTGAATATTTTCAGTATTGTAGTATATCTGTCATCAGGTAGACATCTTTTCAACATCTGATGAGTCTTTTGTATGTAAAATAAAATTGGAAATGAAATATTAAAATGATATCTCAACTATTTTTTATTCTATTGTTGTTATTTACAATAATGATTTTTCACAAGTTGAATTTAAGACTGACATTTTAAGGTTTATGAAAATAATCTAAATTAGGGTTAAGTAACAGCTAAGTTCAACCGATTAATCAATAAACGAAACAAGTGTACAATTTACCTTTGATTATGATAAACCATTGTAAAGATTTTTACATTATTCACATTAAACAAATAATATATGTAAATAGTTAAAAACAATTATGGCATATAGTCTGTTTTCTGTTGAAGAAACTTTGACAACTTCAGTCATCACTGATTAACATTATTTGGATTATCTTTATTTATCTACTGTGTATTTGACAATCTTGATAAAATTTTGTTTGATAGTTGACTGATACTTTGAAAACAACCTTTATTTATTAAACAGAAAGTACTTAAAATCTAACTGGAACATTCAATTTACTATCAATTTTAACCTAGTAGACATTAGTATACAAACTTCAAATTACCACATACGTTTAATAAACAATTATTTACTGAAGTTAATTGTTTTGTTAGGTGATACTTTATTTGTTACAATTATAGATAAATAAAAAGAATGAAATGATTTAATTATATTGCAATTTCATAATTTTCATATAAATGTAAACACCAGTCATTTATTAATCTAAAAATTATTAAAAGGAATATCATGGATGAAAACTGGTTTTTTCTATTAGAAGAATTATTGAGAATCCAACAACAAAACAATATTGACCATTCATAAAAACATCAACGAATTTCGTGATTTTAACTTCATATAGAAAAGGAAATATCATTCATATCAACATAGTTTGAAACAATAGAAACTTCTTTATCAACTTGGATCCATTTGATTTTGGAAAGTATAAATAATTCAAAAAGGTCCTTTTAATATCAAAGGAAAATGAGCAGTTGAAGAACTTCATGTATTTCTAAAATGTGCAGCATTCAGAACGTAAAAGAAGATCTCACTATTTAATCAATCTGAAAAGTTTTGAACGAATCTTAAATAACTTATTCACAATCACACCACAAAGATATTCAAGATATACAAATCTAACATTTTGTCGGACTCACTAACAAATAAGCGAATAGATCAAAGCTATTTCATGTACAGATGCCTTTGACATGAAGATAGCATGGTGGAATTTGCTTATTTCTGATAAACGTTTGTAATTGTTCGTTATTATACATAAATTTGTGTTAATTTTAAAAAGTCACCTACTGTCTAAAGGAGTAAAATGTCAACAACTCGTTCGGGATTTCGGAAATATATTACTTTTATAGTATGTATTATGAGTGATTGTTCGGTCATCTTTGTAGGGATTTTATTCAGGACAACATGGAAATTACTTAGTCATTAATGTCAAATATTAAACGTATATTCTATTGTGAATGCTTTACAATTAACTGATGAATATCAAAAATCTGATTTGATAGGGAAATTTTGAAAGAAGTTGAGATCAAGAGTCAATTGAAGCTAGATCACCATGGAAAAACTGGAAGCTCTGAAGGGCCATTTTGTCCTATTGTGGGATTAATCGGCAGTGCTAATCCACGACCCCGCCTCGCTGGATTCGAACCCAGGGTCCATCAGTCTTGCGCTCGAGCGCTTAACCATTAGATCACTGATGACAATGGTGGATATGTCGCCCAATTGCGTAGATCGGTTGAAGGTAGGCATTAACACCGTTGGATGCTGGCCGGTTCAGTGGTCTAGTAGTTAAGCGCTCGCACGCGAGACTGATAGGTCCTGGGTTTGAATCGCGCGAGGCGTGGTCGTGGATTCGCACTGTTAAAGAGTCCCACAATAAGACGAAATGACCGTCTAGTGCTTCCAGATTTTCCATGGTTTTCTAGTTTCAATTGACTCATGATCTCCACCATTGAACTTACAATAATCTCCACAAAACCCCTTCTGATACTAATCAACATACGCTCACTAGTGACTGGCTTCAAGATGTATATCCTGAAGTTCTAGTGAGAGACAGTGACCAGTGGAATTCAACAGGGTCTGTTGTGAGATAGTAGCTCACTGATGATAAATACATTTTTTGTTATTCCGCAATGAATAGAAAATTGTATTTCTGACGTGTCGTGACTTAATGTTATCCGTTTCTTCAGAATAAATAAATAAATAACCGAAATGAAATTAACACAAGTTTAAATATAGTAGTACAAAGGAAACAATGCAGAATATTTTTGGTACAATCAAAATTATAATAGGTCTGAATATATATTAATTTATGTGTCAGAGGATGGGCATGAGAAAATGTAAGCATTTGTAAAATCAAGTAGTGGAGTTGAAATTAGGTGTGTGTGTGTAGATTGTATTGAAAATAAATAACGTCAGATATCGTTGTTTGGATAAATTGCCCACTCTGGATGAATATTCAAGCCTTCTTTCTTATTGAGGGCAGAAGGATTTAGCATTATGTGGAACACTTCGGCTACTCGCTTCTGTTTATAATTGGAAAAGCCTTTCTGAATTATCTTCATATTTTTAATATCAATTATTGAAAATAACATGTACTACTATATCACACATTTGATTTTGATCATGAATATAATAACGTGAATTCAAAAAACCGGAATGCGCAATGTGTACAGAATAAATGGGGTTTCATGTGTTCGGTGCGCCTGGTGCGTAAATATATAAATTAGCTCACAACCAAAGTTTATGAATTAAGATTGACTCAGCTTCTATCATCAAACAACAGTGTATAAGGTACATAGATGTATATATGCTAGCAAAAATAAATCTGAAAATAGTTACAATCTATGTAAGAGAATAAACGTTTTCAAGTAAATGAATACAGTAGGCTTATAATAATTATTATAAGGTAGTGATCTTGAATGTAAAACCATAGAATATTTGTTCGGATTTAAATGACAAAGTTATTATTCATAAAATATAAATCATCTAGAGAGATGATAAGAATTATTACACAATCATCTGTAAATCTTAATAGTTCTTCCAATTATATAGTTCTTCGACTAGTTAGTTCTCTTTACATTATTGTTAGAAAAAAGTTTATAAAACATTGTAATGATTTTTAGTTAAAAAGTTTTACTTCTCACCTTATGAATTCATTACTTTTGTAAATTTCATTTGTCATCACAAGCAATCAATCATATGTGAAATAAGTGGTAAATAAACTATTATTTCCTTTTAAAAATATTTTTTAGGCAATTCGCTTATCAGGTGATATGTTAATTTCAATATGTCGTAATCAAAGCAAAGGATTTGTTAATATTCGAATACATGAAATAAGAAATTTACAATTTCTTTCATATGGAAGATGGAGAATTGAAAACTTGAACGATATGTTAAATAATAGATCTTGTAAGTAATTATAAAATTCATTATATATATATATATACATGTTATGGATTTAAATATAAGTCAAAAGATAATCTTTTATCAGTATTGTTTATGAAATTGCATTTCAACAAAAATATACCCAAAGTTTATGCTGACGATTTTGTTCAGAATAACGATGTAAGCTTCAAAACCAAGCCATCCAGCTCAAAGAGCATAACTCCATAAACATAAATTATGTAGCCATATTAAGGAAATTTTTTTACCCATGTCATTTTTACAATTAACGAAACTTTTCAAAGTACAAAACGGTAATATATACGACCAAAGTAGTTACATGGAGAATATTGTGTTCAAATCAGGATTTTACTTAGTTTGTCTTGTAAACAATTAATCCAAAGATTCATTATTAAAGCTAATATAAATCTTCTTGAATAAAATGTGACACTAGTTGGACGGAAAATGAATTGTCACAACGATGTGCACTTATCCTGATATTTATTGTCATAAACTTTAGTGATTTCGAATATCAAATTAATGGTTTGGAGAATGAATCAATAATTCTCATAGTCGACATAATTTAATCTCTGTATACTAATATCTATCAAATTATCATAGCTTTAATGAGTTTATTTCGATAGTAATGATATGGCTTACAATGTAACAGGAAAGTGCAGATAAAGGAAATAATTCCAGTGATTATCTAACTTCAAAGTTAGTCGTCAGAGCATTATAAGACGTTGCTGTAGTCAAGAAGAAGATTGATGTGTATTTTAAATGAAATATTTCTTTATTATAAAACTTTATATGATATCTTAAACATTCTATTACACATACTACTCAGTAACTTTATAATGATAAAAGTTTATAACACCAAATTACAGTTAGTGGATTGTGTAAAATTATATGCAACAGAATTGCTGATATGTAAACCTAGTCACGTAAGATTTATTAGAAATAATTAAAAACAATACTTTGAGAATTAGTCGATCATTAATCACTCCCGAGTCTTTTATGTACTAATTTATCACCTAATACCTACGCTGTGTTTACCAAAACCTTATCAGAAATAAATAAATTAAAAAATCAAATCGATTTTCTTGAGTAAAATATGTCAAGATGACAAAACAAAACTTAATATTTGAACTGTAAACTACAACTACGATAATTTTGGAGCCTAATTAACAAATACACTTACTAATGAGTATTACAGCTAATCATCGACTCAATGTCAATTAATCAGTAGCGTGTGAGTTTACAGTATTTTAAATTCAAGATTATTTTGTAAACATAATCATAAGTGATCAAGGATGTAATCCAAGAGTGAAGGAAAGCAGATATAAAGATTTCTGATGAGTTCAACAATAACCTATTTCAAATTATGTACTAGATAATATCTTCACATGTTACAATCACTCTGCTAACCTTTGTCGGTGTATTACATCATAGTCAATCATCATTTATCCCATTAATAATAATAGTTAATTCATTATATCTTTATCATTAATCGTAACACATAATTACCAACAAGGAACTATAATAAAAAGTTACTTCACTAACTGCTCTTCGTTTAGTTTGTTTTTTTCTATATGTTTGAATTCAAACACTTACTCCGATAGGATATAAATAGAGACATTTAATGTGAGTCGTTGAGTTAGTTCTGTACATACTAACAATAATGAACATTATAGTACATTTATTACGTAAGTTGTTTTCTGTGCACAGTACTTTCAAAGTCAATACATACATGATGAAAAGAATGTTGAAAGAAACTTATGTGATTAGGACACTTTATACATTTACATTTAATTCCGGTAAAGTTGTTACAAACATCTTATTTACTTAACTTCCCAGTGTTGTTTTTGAGTTAATTGTCCCTAGGCAAAATGTCTAGAGCAAAAGAACATATTAGGTACATAAAGAAACCTCTTAACAATCCCGTAGAACTGAATAAACTTCAAATTAAATCAACAATAACAGTTCATGCCATTTACAACGACCACCAAATTGATTTCAAAAATATCAAAATACTGCAAAAAGGCTTTTCCAATCACAAAGAAAGGAGAGGAGCTGAAGCGTTCCATATGATGCTTAATCCTACTTCTCTCAATAGAAAAGAAGGCCTTACCATACATCCTACTTGGACTATCTATCCTAGCCACATAGTCTGATCTTATTTACAATTCACACTATAATCTTACAAATTAAACTCTACCCTTTCTCACCATAAATGTCACATAATGTTTTATCCTTAAACAGTACACACATAAATACACACAAATTTACATACATATAGCTTATGAATCACCTTGACCGAAATGACATGACATTAACTTGTTCAGACCTGTTTTTGATTGATCACATATTATTCTTATTGTTCCGTTGTACTATTTAAACTTGGATTAATTTTAATTTGATTATTTATTCCCTGAAGAAGTGGCTTACACTAAGTCACGAAATGTCAGAAAATCTAATTTTTCTACTCATCGGGATATTACAAACATATTATTTATTTATAAAAATGTCGTTTAGTTGTAGCATCTAAATGACTAAAGAAATTAAATAAGCTTCTGATAAAAAGAGTAGTTAAAGATAAGAATCTTACTGATTTCCATTGTTTGTTTAACTTCATCCTTGACACTTCAGAAACTAGATAAATATCTTATTGAATCCATAATGTTTTGATAAATAGACAAGCTTTGATGTAGTTCACAAACAACCTCTGTGTTGTTTTATGTCAATAAGATTACCAATCTTTGTACATTTTTCAAATAGTAGGTCATTTGAAAATGATTTGAATATAAAAACAACAGTTAAAATAATGTAAATAAAGACATTAAGTTAAATAAATGGTATTTGGATTGTGATTTGAAGAAAATTATCAATCGAATAACTATAGTGTTTGTTATTCTCTGAAAATCATAAAAATGTTTCTGGCTAAATGGATGCTTAGTCAGACTTGAAGATTGGGCAGTTGTAATTATGAAACACAAACATATTTTCTAGAAATCAATTATCTGTTTCTAATATTCTTACCACACATATAACTACATTTCATAGCCAAATACTTAGAAGTGATTAACCAAATTTTAAAAAGTATAACTCATAAGTTCCAGAAAAATGACAATAATGATAAATATGCACGAATGATATTCTGTTAATTCTATAGTTTGAACTGTTTCATCTATACTTGATCAGATTAAATGTTTCATTATAATAAACCTTTTAGGTAAGTTTCCTAAGATCTTCAACCATAAATATTTTAATTGTACCATTCTCTTTTGTTCATAGATGAAATGACAGTATATACCTGTTTGATTAATGCTGGTCACATGATTAAGTCAATCAAAGCAACAACAATCCATCATCCTTCTCGAAGGACTTCAAAACATATTGAAACAGATGTAAACAACTCAACAGAAAACAAGTTATGTGAAGCAAAAACTACTGAGACAAAATCTAACAATTTCACACTGGTTGATTGTTTTGTTCACTTTAGTCTACCTACAGTGAAAAAATCTGTTGGTAGACATTTAGCAGTTAAACATGGTATAACGATATACGTAAAAGGTAAACTACCAATTTCAGATTTAATACCTTATGAATGCTTGAATCAACTTAAACAAATGTCAATTACTAGTACACGTTTATTAAATGCTATTGGTGAATGCCACTTTGGTGATTATGGCTTCCAGAATGATTCAATTAAGGATTTTAACAGACCACCTTCATGTCATTCTAGTCAAGGCTTTTCATTTTGGAATGATGCAGGCTCGCGTAATGGAACCCGCATATACCAGTGGTTACGTATTGAATGATGATCATAAATATTACACTTTTGATGTAATTCAGTTAAAGAATCAAGTGCAGCATTCTTTGAACTGTAAAATTTTAAACATCATAAGTATTCAGCAACTTACATTGCAGTCCGTTTTAACAAGTACCATCTATTTTTCAGCTTAAATTAAGTGACCTCCTGAGTAATCAGAAATGATTCTTTTTGATGATATATTTGAATAATTAAATGTGTTTGTCTTATAAAGCATAACTCGTTAATCATTAACGTAAGAATGTCATCGATCATGTCATTGATCACAGAAACATACCTAAACTTCATAAACATTCCATTGAAAAGCAATAACAATTAGTTTCTTTAAAATTATTATTTCATTTATTCATTTACAACGCGTTTCCATTTATTCAGTTGTCAGTAATATGTCATAGTGATGAATATTGTCTTGTCTAACAATTTTGGGAACAAGTATCTCGTATATGTTGTTTGCTTCATCAAAGGAAATAAACTCACTATTAAAATAATAAATGTCGTTGTTTTTGTAGAAATTTAAGAAGAAAAACTATTTTATTTTTCAAGAGCAATAGGAAAATCTCTATGTTCAGTTCTTTATCAAGATGATATGATAAGTATCAAAAACATTATCAAGATAAATGGCATGCTCTGACGTTGAACAATGTCATTGCTTTTTACGTCATTATTATGCTATAAACTAGAAAGGATTACCAAGAATCTTAGATTATATATATATATATATATATATATATATATATATATATTAGATTAATGACATAAATAAATTTTATTTTATACATTCTGCATCCATCCTAAATTATAGTTTTCACCTAACTAGCTAAATGAAAAATTTGCTGGTGATTAAATTATTCCATTAGATTTTATAGTGATAGTTCTTGATCTATTTGATTGAGGATTTGAAAAAAAAAGTAAATTATTATAATGAATCAAAGTCCAGACTTCAAATGTTCGCTGCTGAAGTATCCTAATTACACATGAAACAGGTTATTGTTTACTCTTAGGATGAAATACGTTGACTAATAGTGACTTGTGACTGTTTTTAAATTTCACTTTAATCTGAATCTTTGACAGAAGACACATTACACCAACTGGTATTGAGAAACTAAAAATAGAAGTGTAAAAAAGTAGATTATTTAATGAAATATAGAAATTGAGTCACACTACTGTGAAATTTATCAAACAGCTAACCTTTATAACAGTAATTACTTACATAATAAACATAATATGAAAAAATTATATACGTAAATATATATATATATATATATATATATATATATATATATATATATATCCACTTTGTTCCGTAAGATATTCCACCAACATAAGTTCTCTGTTTCCTCAGGTTATTTCATTTCCAAAAATTCAATTTATCATATGCGAAATCAAAACTTCACGTAACATTCTTTTTTAAAGAAAACTAACATTAATTAATGCTTTTTCCCCGATTTTCAGCTAAACTTATCGTAGACATACACCAAAGTATTTGTATAGAGATTCATCGCAATAAGCAGGAGTTGTCATTCAATGTTTCATAGTTTTAACACAATGATCTATCATTCATTAAGATTATATTTCTGTTAGATACTTACTTTTGAAAATGAGACTGAATTCTTTTTTTAGATTAAAAGATTATTTATAAACCGTAAAGAGAGAAACTCATAATTATTTACAGTTGTACATGACATCTCAGTGGACATATTTTGTGGTGATTCGTTTATGTTTTACATTAATAAAATTGTAAATTTTATAACAGCAGACAGTATATTACAGCTGTTTAACACTAAATTATAAAACTGTAATGTTGAAAAAGTGGTGTACATATATGGGAAACCAGTAAGCCATATGAGCAAGCTTAAAATTCACCCAGATAATGACAAAACACAGTGTCTTTATTTAATTCTGCAACTTCATCATTTATTGCACTAGTGTTCCGTTTGTTGATTTCATTATTCCTGTAAACTCTTTCTGTTTATGTCAAAATGGATATAAATATTCATCCCAGAGTGAGTTGATTAAACAAATCCATATTTCTTGCGAATATTACACTTAATAAAATGTTAGTTTTTGGTCTTTCAATTTAACCTCATAAAGCATTTCTTACGCTACATGAAATGGCTTTATGTTAACAGATCACAATTTATCATAAACGATGACTTGGCGATTCGATTAGTGAAATTCTATGCGCGATGATAGTTCATTGTTTTTAGGTCAAAAGTGACACTATCTGATTTAAAAACAATTGAAACCTGATAAAATAATAGTTGAAACAATCTCTAAACGCTAACTTTATCACGTATTTTCAACAATACGAAACATTGAAATTGCACCGTAAGCTATAAGTGAAATCTTTCTGATTTCAATTACCAACAAAACTGTTTATATACTTAGTTCCACTTAGTAAAACAATTATAAAACAAAAAAATAATCCCATCATTTGAGCATTCTGATCATTAAAGTACGTTTAGTCCTTGGAAGTTGTGGATTGTCTTTTATCAACGTCCATTAAGACATTAAATAAGATTGGATCAGCGAAGAGTTCTCTTATCGGCGAATTCATTTTCAAAGCTACAGGGTAAGTAGAAGTCTGCATCTTTTTTGCATTGCAGAAGCATTAGCCATACATCCAGAAAAACCAGAATGGTGTGTACAAAAGAGACTGGTACAACCTCTTCTTCTACCATGATCTTAATGTCTGACATTTTTTTCTCTTTTTCATGCTCTTCTTCCTTTACAGCCATCTGCTTCACCCTACATCTTCCCCTTGTATTTTCTACCCTCAACCGGTTTATTTCTGTTTCCACGATCATCCTCGTTACATTTAATCTCAATTTCAACATTTATCTTATCATGCTGAGCCATTCTTTTCCAATGATAAGTTCCCTATCTATCTTTTGATGAATACTTAAGCCATTAACAATCAAACGATTACTAAACTTTCCTTGTTTTAAAAAATTTTTTGGCGAGACTATAATTTATGGATGAACCAGTAAGGTATATGATAATAGGCCTCGGATATTGGCGCGAAATTCACTCATCCAATTCGGTTAAATAGTTTTGGAATTATAGCTGATTTCAGTTAGTGATGAAAACCCAAAATCTAATTCCTAACGTTATTCATCAACTGTAAAACATAATTCTAATTCGATGGAGGTAGTTCCTGTTGACTACCTCCAACCACCATCTAATCTTACAATAGTGCCCGCAGTGTCGAGTCACTTAGATTGGTGGCCACATTGAAACATGGTCGATAGCATTCGATCTGCACTAATAAGAACTAGACAAGCATGACATTGATCACCACCCCGTGATCAATCAATTGTGATAATTCTAATTCCTCACACAGATTTAGAACCCTCATTCGGTCATAGATATTAGGTGGACACTCAAGGTCAGTCTAGTTTAGCTCAAAGGTCGTCCAGAAATTATAGTCACACCAAATTTTTTAATATCTTTGTTTATTTAACCTCACTGTCACCATGTCTAACAGAAATTTTATTATCATCTTGTAGAATAAGTATATATATTTGCGATTGTACAGCTTTGAAAATGAATTCGCCTAAAAGAGAACTCTGCTGAACCAATCTTTATTATTTTATCAGCGCATTTGATAAGTAATTTCATAAATCAAGTATATAAGAAAACCGTATTCTACGTAAAAAAAAGTAGAAATTATCAGCACTCTCATGATAATTACAAAAGTGTAATTGATTTTATTTTTTGGAACTCTTAGTATTCGCGAAGTAATCTGGGTAATTTTCATCAAAAATTTGTATCATAGAGATTATTTTTAAACAGTTCGTAACAAGAAATTTTCCGAACTTTTTTCTTATTATTAGACTTACTTATTTACTTACGCCTGTTACTCCCGATGGAGCATAGGTCGCCGACCAGCATTCTCCAACCCATTCTGTCCTGGGCCTTCCTTTCCAGTTCTATCCAATTTTTGTTCATTTTTCTCATATCTGTCTCCATTTCTCGACGTCATGTGTTCATTGGTCTTCCTCTTTTCTTTTGACCTTGAGGATTCCATGTGAGGGCTTGTCTTGTGACGCAATTGGGTGCTTTCCTCAATGTGTGTCCTATCAACTTCCACTTACTATTAGACAAGATCATCAAAGATTTATTAATAATTTAACGGTTGAATTCATGAGTTAATTGAGGCTAGACCATCATGGAAAACCTGGAAGCACTGGATGACTCATACTAGGACGAAACGACCGTCCAGTACATCCAGGTTTTCCATAGTGGTCTAACTTCAATGGATTGATGATCTCAACTATTGAAATTACTATGATATCCACAAAACCCCTTTCTGATTTATTAAGTAAATTTTTGTTAAGCTGTAAGATTCTATAATAAAAAGAAAGTGTTGTCAACTAAACCACTAGTTAATTCTGTTTTATGTTTAAATAACAGCGTCTAAAATATTTTTATCACAATGAAAACTTTCGTTTATCATATTTATTTACTTTGTTTTTCACGAAATAACATGAACAATTAGTTTATTTCTAAAATATATAGTTTTCATCCAAATGCTATTATGGAGTGATGAGTTATAATTCTCTAGGACATCACTGAACATAATTTTTTTTGGGGGGGGATTTCAAACCTTAACACTTTATAATTTTTAAAACTAAATGCGTGAATATATGTCTTGTCATCTAAGTTTTCTCATGAAGTATCGTTGAAATACTAATATGTGTCATTTTGTAGCATGCAGGTTCGATCTCAGTTATTTTATAAAATATAACTATGCTAAGCTATTTAGAGGCATTCAAAAGTATTATACCTACATGCTTCCTCAGGAGACAATTTCCCTGCTGATCAGTTATTTATATTGAAAGCATTACTTAATATACACAATAAAATTTTAGCCATAGTAACAAATCTATAAGCAATATAAAATGTAATAATAAAACAAGTGGGATGTGTTATCGTTATTAGTTCAGTAGACATGATTTGAATTTTCGGCTCTGTTCAACTGCAGAC